CTTCCTTCCAAGGAGTGGATTAGAATATTTTATTGCCAGGATTGAGACAACCTGTACATTTATCATGGTATGAAGTACTGGCTAGCCTGAGGCCTCTTCTCACATTCCTCAAGATAATATGTAGGAGCTGACTCTCTTGTGGAACATGGAAAACAGAGAGACAGAGAAGGCAGCAGAAGGTATCTTGAGATAAGAACACAGTAGAACTGGTCAGAAGCAACCAGAGCTGTTTCTGCTTAGCCACACTGATGCAGTGTGGAAAACCTTCACCTGAAAATGAACTTCTTACCTCACAGGCTGAAAAACACACCCCTTGAGGCCATGACACTTCACCTCCACTGCACCCCCCTAATACTAATTAGCTCTTAGAATGTAAATGCTTTCATGCAATCAAATGTACATGCCTGACTTCTTTGTTCCAAAGTGTACAAAAAGGAAACTGACCTGTTTTTCAGGGAACTCAATCTAAGACAGAGTCCTCCGAGTGCCTTGCTTATGCACCTCCACATTCTCACTTGGCTCTCCTCACCTCATTGTCCTCTTTATTCAGGAGCCAAGCCAGTGGAGATCCTCTGGCAGCATTTGGCTGCAGCAGTATGAGCTTCTCTACAGCAATCCCTTTCCCTGACATGGCAACCAGCAACATTTGAGACAGAGCCTGCTTCATTAGCTAGGGCTCCTTCGTAACTACAATGATGTTACATCATTGATGAGGAACAGATGAGTAGAGCCTCTGCATAGCCCCATTTATCAAGAACCATAAATAAACCTTTGTAGTTTTAAGACATTGAGATTGCAGGATGTTTATTAGAGCATAATTTAGTCTATACCAATTAATACAGATTACCACCTGAGTTATTCATACCGATATAAAAATCCTAGTTAGAATCAATGGTAAGAGTGAATATGATTTTGATATCAAAATCAGTATTTCTTACAAGAAATAAAAAGTAAGGCCATACTCATATTATACACATTAATATCACAAGGATCAACCTCTTTGAGAAAGGAAAGTTTTGTGGAAAGTATCTTGAACTGGTTAGGACTAAGAATAAATCTAGGTTTCCTCCCTACTCTACAAATAAATAGCCAGGGTTATATCCTTTCACCAAACTTATTCAATCTATATGTTGAGCAAATAATCTGAGAAGCTGGACTACAGGAAGAAGAATGCAGCATCAGAATTACAGGAAGACTCATTAACAACCTGTGATATGCAGATGAGACAATTTTGCTTGTCCAAAGTGAAGGTGACTTGAAGCACTTCCTGATGAAGATCAAAGACTACAGTCTTCAGTATGGATTACATCTCAACACAAAGAAAACAAAAATCCTCACAACTTGACCAATAAGAAATGTCATGATAAATGGAGAAAAGATTGAAACTCTCAAAGATTTCATTTTACTTAGATTCACAATCAACACCCTTGGAAATAGCAGTCAAGAAATCAGATGTTGTATTGCATTGGGCAAATCTGCTACCAAAAACCTCCTTAAAGTGTTAAAGAACAAAGATGTCACTTTAAAGATTAAGGTGCACCTAACTCAAGCCATGGCATTTTCAATCATCTCATATGCGTGTGAAAGCTGGACAATGAATAAGGAAAACCAAAGAAGAGTTGATGCCTTTGAATTGTGGTGTTGTCAAGAATACTGAAAATGCCATGGACTAGCAGAAGAATGAACATATCTGTCCTAGAATACTCCTTAGAAGTGAGAATTGCCTCACCTACTTTGGTCACGCTGTCAGAAGCAAAAGGTACTTGGAAAAGGATATCATACTTGGTAAAGCAGAGGGCCAGTGAAACAGAGGAAAACTCTCAACAGGATGGATTAATAAAGTGGCTGAAATGATGGGCTCAAGCAGAGTAAGTATTGAGAGGATACCACAGGATTGGGCAGTGTTTTGTTTTGTTCTGCATACAGCTGCTATGAGTTGGCACTGACTCGATGACACCTAACAACAACAACCTAACAGTGAAGATGACTAAGTGACAAAGAATATATATTATTTTATCTTGGCTCCTTTGAAAATAAACACTAAAAAATAATCCTAAGGCTGAATGATCAGGTATATATCTAGGCAGGGGGGAGGAGGCCCATGATTATGTATG